AGAAAAAACAGGTTGTCACTCAAGTCCTATTCCAATTAGGCCAGTCCAACAGATGGAGGAAGTCCACCAGAGCAACGAGATGGAGGTTGAAGTGCCACCACAAGAAGACATGGGGTTCATCCAAACAGGATACTCCCAGCAATACATCTAATCGAATCCTTTTTACTTGTTTACTTTCTTTCTTTGGAAATATACTCCCGCAAAAGAACTTAAAAAATAGATAACAATGAGTATCAAAGGTGTAAACGAGAATTCCATTCTTGATGTGAACATTGGAACATACTCGACTCACCTGCAGTACGAACATATCTTGAAGGAACTGTTTTCGGAATACATCTTGATCTACAAAACACTCTGTCAAAGCATTTCAGATCAAGATTACATCGAGCAGAAGATAAAACTTGCAAAGAAGATCCGTGAGATTGTAGACACAATCAACGATTTCAGAAGAGACCCATCATGGGAGATCCAGAAGAAACTCGATGGTGGAATTTACGTGAATTGAATCTTTCTTATCTTTAAATTGTATATGGATAGGGAAAAAAGAGAAATAACATTGTCCCCTTTTGGGACCCGCGGCTTTGAAAACAATAAAGACATCGATTCGATTCTAATGGAAAAGACTCCACAACAGTTGGTATGTGCTCGACAAGGAGCAGGCGGTAATAGCATGAAATATCTCGAAGGGTTTCGCGCAATAGAGATTGCAAACGCTGTGTTTGGGTATGACGGGTGGTCCGATGAGGTAAAACAATTCATCCAGCCCCAGAATACAGGGTGTGTACTGTCAATTGTCCGTATCACTTTGAAGAATGGATGCTACCACGAAGATATTGGATTTGGGTCTTCAGCACTTAAGACCAACCCACTTGAGATAGCAGCTAAGGAATCCGTGACTGACGCCCGAAAAAGAGCACTTCGATTGTTTGGCAATTTACTAGGAAATTCATTATATGATGTGAATTATACAAGAAACATCTCACCAAATAGTACAAACAAAAGAATTATCATACAACCAGTCAATTACACGGAAATCGTTTCCGAAGTTGAAAATTCAAAAAAGGTAATCGAAGAAAAGATTAATCAAAGTTTCAAGTAATAATTCTGTTAAAGAGATCATGAATTTATATATTCGTTGATCAAGTCTTCGCTGTCGTATTTTGGACATTCTTCTTCCACGTTTACATCTGCTACATTTCTATCCTTAGGTTCAGCAGTTATCTCTTCCATGTTTAAGACTTCTTTCAAAACCTCTTTAACGTCAGCGCTTTCTTTAACGACATTAGGATTACTATCCATTTTCTCCGTATCTTTTATAATAATCGGATTACTATCGATTTTCTCCGTGTCTTTTATAACAATCGGATGATTACTATCCATTGAATTGATTACGTCCATAATTTCGGAATCTATAATCTCCATTTTTTGACATGAAACATTTCTTGGTGTTGGAACCGCAATCTTTCTTCTGTTGGTTTCAAAAACTATACGTTTATTTGAGAAATCATCAAACGATTGATCAATACTATTCCTCTCCGAATCAGTCATTAATTTCAATTTCGACTCTAACTTGGGAATGAACAATCGATGTTGTGATACCCTTTTCACTTCTTTTGTCCCATTCTTTTTATCATTTAAGACACTCATGCATGCGTTGTACAATGCCTCTCTATTTGAGAAATCAAAATCCTCGGAGCTACATTCGCTATTGAT